TAAGACAGAACACTTAATAATAATAATAATAACTGATCTCATCATCCATTGATGTTACCACCAGGATGGGTTGTTTCATTAAACGGCTCCTCCCTTCCATTATTAGTGTTGGATCTGTGTACTATTTTGTTCATTTGATACTTTATCTCACCACTAAGACCAGTGTTCTGCAAATTTTGTCACCCACAGCACACTTATTTGTCAAAGATGGTAGGTACGCCACAAACTTTTGCCCCCCAAAAAACAGGTACGAAAGTATTCATGGCCTTAAATATGTATAAGAATGCTGTGCAAACAGAACATAACACATCTTAAATAAAACTATTGATGATGAACCAGTGTGTTTGTGCATTTTGCATTTCATATTCTAATTACAAAATATGATATTTTGTTTTTCTAACTGTGACATATGAATATAGTTTCTTATAAAAATTTGTAGCGCACCTTAAACCTTCCGATGGCGCACCAGTGTGCCCTGCCACACTGATTGTGAAACACTTGGTCTACTCATTAGTTGCTTATTCAGTATCTTTATTATTATGCACTGAAAGGCATTTTGTCATCCATTCATAATGAATGTCTGTACCACTACATCTGTTATTTATCTTGTTGGTCATATGAAGCTATATCATAGTCTTTCTTTTGTGTTGTTTTCAGGGGTCTTGGATCTTACATAGAAATCAGTGGAGAAAATAATCCTGGATCTTCAGATGCATTTCTGTCAGAACCTATTTTTGCATAACACTGGACTTTCACAGATTTCAGCACAATTTTTGTGCTGTTGGTGGACATCGACTATCAGCTCAGACTACTGCGGTAATTTGAGCATAAAAAGCTTGAAAAAAGTTACTGATATTTATTGTGTGTCAGTCTTGGGGTACAATGGAAATGGAACGAACATGTGTGCTGGTTTTGTGAATCCTGAATTAAAAGTGACACTAACTGTGAGAACAAAAAATTGATTCATAACAGACACATCTTTTTCATTTGTTTCAATTCAAAGTGAAATAGACCACTATAGATACAGTATTATGTGAATAAGTTTTAAGGTTGCATGATGTGTTGACATTAGGGTTTGGTTTATTTTTGAGGCTTCAAAGTGAATTAAGTGATGGCGCTGTAGCTCATAGCATGTCCAGTGAAGAACATTATTCACCTACCTCATAGACAACATGTGTGCTATAATTCAGTTGTCATTTGCACAAAAATGACCCTACGGTATAGTTTCCTAGTCATGGTACGTATGTCGGAAACTCAGTCCATAATTCAGGTTGTCATGCCAAACAGAAATTCATCTAGTCAGTAAACTTCACGAAATAGGACTTTTAGGGCGATGCAGTGAGTGCCCAGTGTTGATATTTTCAACAAATTATTCCTCGTATATCTCAATAAATATAAAATTACCAGAAACCAAAATTATTGAGAATATTTATCATTGTAACTTCAGTGGAGTGGCTGAGATTTAAGAATAATGTGTTAGAATGTAAATGTTGGCTCAAGGAAATATGTTGGAGACCAGGACGGTTTCTAACAGGAACTTGTAATTGGTGAAATATTTCTTCAAAGTGGTGGCTTACAATGGAAATGTAGATTTTATACAGCTGAAGGCAGCCATAAAGTTGTCGCAGTACAAGGACAGGAATGTCCTGTTTGAAAAGTAGTCTTTCTTTGCCTGCTTTTGGGTTGCGGGATTCTCCCAATCAGGCTTCAGTCTTCCACACAGGCGGTACGCGTAGCCGAGGTAGCTCAGTCAGCGTAATGTCTGACAAAATACTGAGGTTTGATCTCAGGCACAGTAAAGGTTTCTACTTGTGTCCAGACCGGCTCTGGAGCCCACCCAGCCTGCTATCCAGTGGGTACTGGAGGTCCTTTGACCCTACGATAAAGCATGGTCAGGCCATGACACTGACCATTCACCTCATCTACTGCCAAGGTCAAGAATGAATAGGAGCTATACCTCCTCTCCCCCAAGCACTTGGTATGTAGTGGGTTGGCTGTACTTTATCTTACAGAGACAACATGAAATTTTAATCAGTTTTCAGTTTCATGATAACAGTCGTGTTATACAGTTGTAAGTTGCACAAGAATAACTTAATTATGGTTGTTTTTTTCGGGGGCCAGTAATTCATGTTTTAAGTTCTCCGAGCACAAAATTCATAAAATGAACACATGATTGGAGGTTGTATCTGTCCATTTATATTTCATCTCCAGAATTACTGAACAGATTTAATTAATTTTGATACTGGAAGAATATGTTCTAACATTTGTCACAGTTGTAGATTTTGTTTTGTTTGGTTTAAACGCACAATTTACCATACATGAAACTCACGTTTAACTTTATCAATCATCTCATAAATGGCTTACGCTACAAAACTTTGTATATCACAAAACATAGACATCATCAAGATCATTAACATTTATTTAAACGTTTCTTAATATGAAACGTATTTAATGAAATAACAGGACAAACAATTTATAATTTTAGTTGGTACTGTATCTTTACAAAAATGCATTTGTATCTGTAATATGATGGAACCAACTGTTTCCAACAGTTAATTATCTTATTATATTAAGTTACAGCCCTTTAATTAAAAACTGTCCTTCTGTTAGATGCACATCAACTGCTAATATTGTTTTCAGGGACTTTGATATACGTATTTGACACAAAAATTGTTTTTCTTAATCACATACTAGAATAACTGTTCTGCTATTCATATACTGGATATTAATTACACAATAAATTTACATACATTTTTCTCCTTTCTCTCCTCTACTACTCACCATTGACTAATTATGTGTCATCATTCTAAATTTACATATTATATATACATATATATATATTCTGATCTAGTACCTTGTATGTTTTGGGTACTTTCTTCTAATTTTAATCTAATTGACTTTATTTAATTAAATTATTATTACAAAGATACTAATGTTTTCAGTAGCAAGTTGCCTTTGTATATTAACACCCTTTAAACTCATGTATTTTTTATAATCTGTTTATTTCTCTAATTTATGATCGTGTTCTTCTCTTGTGCTGTCTGGCTGTTGATGCAGAGCACCAATAATAAAGAAATGAATTGAAAATGAATGTATTTAAATAGTAAACTCCTCTGAAGCATCTGTCAGTCAGTATCCACCAGACTATGTGACCATGAGAACCTAATATCTCCCCCCTTTCAAGGCTTAAATATTATGTCATGTGAATGGTGGTAGGGAATAGCAAGAAAAATGCAAATAAAAAGGATTATGTGAGGTCAGACTATTTTAGCAGATATATACTAGATTCATGTGAGTCTTATTAGACGTTTAATATTGTGAAAAAGAATTGTCCTGTTGCAAAATTTGAGACAGCAATGAATAAACTTGAAGATCATATAACATATGTATGTAAAATTACCATAAAACATTTTAAAAACAGTTAACATTTTCACTGTTTTAACTTCCATTCAATTTTGTGTGTACAAGCT